GAGGCTGGCAGATGAGACAGGGACACGGCTCTCACCACTTCTTTCCTGTGCGGGTTGCCGCAGGCTGGGCAGCCCCATGGCCCAGGGGCAGGCTGTGGCTTTCTTTGACCCCCCAAGCCAGCCCGTTCCATGCCTCCCACAGGATGGCGACTGTGGCTCGGACCCCATGGCTGCGCCCAGGTTGTCCCACGAAACTTTGAGAGCCTGGTCTGAGAATTCCTCTTCAGGGGCAGCTCCACGTGGCTTTGAGGGTGGGGACATGCGTGTCGGCCACACTCAGCACCTTTCTAGGGTCTCTTGATGGCTGGGGAGTAGGTCAGGTTCAGATACGCTCCCCAGCGGTGCAAGCGAGCTTTTCCTGGACAGTCCCTGGAGTGGGAAGTCGCCTTTCTCCTGCTTTAGAGGGGGAGTGTCCCCACGGCTGGCTCCAGAGTCCCCATGCCACTCCACCTGTGATCATTCATTTCCTTGACCAGGGAAGAGTGGACAGGGCGACGTCATTGACACTGCCTATGGACGCTGAAAGTGCGTGAAGGGACATGGCTGCCGTGAGACCGCAGCGCGCCGAGGGGCAGAGCGGACACCTGCTGTCTAGCCCGGTCCCACCTCGCCCGTCCTGTGTCTGTGGGCCGATGGACCATGCTGTTCTGGCCAGGGAAGCATTCCCCAGCCTGGGGCTTGAAGTTCTGCCCGGAGCGACATGTTCCGGAGAGAGCACCACGCTCTTCAGCCAGTGTGGCGGCGAGGCCTCCTGTCACCCTCCCCACAGTAAAGCCCACGTCACTGGCCTCCACAGACGAGCCACATGTGTGCTGCAGAGTGCTGAGCCCGATGTGGCCACCTGGGGGACCCCCATCCTGGAGACCTCTGCGGCTGCAAGGCCCCCAATGCGGGATGTTTTCCCCTAGTCCTTTGGGTCCCCGGGGGGCTCCTGAACCCTGAGCCTGCCTCCTAGGCTGCCTGGGCGCCAGAGCCTGGCCTTTGCTTGGGAAGGACTTGCTCAGGATCCCATGGACTAGGCAGGAGCGTGGGAGCGGGCAGCAGGCGTCTGCAGGATGGGGGGCCCACGGGAGGGAGCGGATGCTGGCAGGGGGTCCGCGGCATGTGTCCCGGGAGACAAGACAGGGATAAGGTCGCGCTCACGGCCTTTTGCTTCGGCACCACAGCCTTATAAAAGTCTCGTTGACCTTTCCTTTGGGTCAACGAAAACAGACTTCCTAATTTCCACGAATGAAGTGTGTGGACCTGGAAAGCTGCTTGGTGGTGCTCTCAGCCTTCTCTCGTGTGCGTCAGTCAGTTTCCAAATGTTTCTCTGCAGTGGGGTCCACTGGTGCCAAATGTTTACAAACAGAAGAACGTGAACTCTGAAAGCTAAAGGTGGACGAGGCTGGAGGGCGTGGCGACGTGCTGCCCGCGTCCCCGCAAAGGAGGACAAGTCGCCCTGGTTTCTGAGAATGTTGTCAGCTGCAGTTGTCAGCCCGGCTGGAACTGCGTCAGCTGCAGGGAGCGCCTGGCCCGAATCGCAGCGTTCTGGCTGCAGCCAACTCCAGTGGCTGACGGAGGCGAGGCAGAAGGGCCTCCCTGGCCTGGGGTAACCTCCTCCCCCTTCGCGTGTTTCCATCCCGAGGGCCGGCTCTCATAAACATCCTGCGCTCAACCTGCTCCTATAACGCCGGCCTGACCGTGCGTGTGTTTACTGCGTTGCCTTTTGCAGGAGGCGAACGTGAAGACGAGTGACGTGGGAACGTCTGGGCGAGGCTCCTAGAACTGTGGCGGGACCCGTACGAACCCAGGAAGGTCTCCCTGGGTGCTTTTGACTTTGTGTTCAACTCTGAGATTAAGAGCACCCGTTGTTAAAGTGACTTGCCCAAGGTCACAGGAAGACCGGTCTGTTTCCACCTGTTGAGGTTTTTCAATGTACTTAGGAGAGGAGGAAGAAATACCAAAACGGGATAAAGAAAGTGTGGAAGAAAAAAATGTAGATCGTCGGGAGAAAAAAAATAGAAAACGCTATTTACGAAGCGATGACCGGATTTATAAAAACATGAATTTCGCCGTCCCCTGCAGGTGGTGTGGCCTCGCGATGGGACACAGACTCAAAACTGATGAATGTCAGTCGCTTCACTCGTCAGTCACTGCCTTGCCCCGGAATTTCTTTTGGAGAGAGCGTGAAAGTCTGCAGAAGCTCTGTGACCAGTCTGGTTCTTAATTCAGTGGTCTCGCCACCACATCCACGCCTCTGTTCAGCACTGTTCGGCATTTTGTGTTTATAGAACGCAAAGTCGATGACCTTTTTTATTTTGCGTTTCTTGAAAAGCTGGCTGCAGATGCCAGGAGGGTTCGCGGTGCCCTCGTTCTGGACAAACCGTCTTCCAGGCCCCTGCACGCAGAGGCAGCGCCGGCGTTGTGGGCGTGCGGGCTGGGAAGTCGCCGGGATGCAATTCTCCCGGTCACCATCTTGAAATTCTCAATTAAAACAATTTTCAATTACAGTCGACGTTCAGTATTACATTAATTTCAGGTCAGACATTTATACGATTTACAAAGCGATCCCCGAGTAAGTCGAGTCCCCACCCGGCACCACACGTGGTTATTACAATATTATCGACTATATTTCTGATGCTGTCCTTCGCATCCCCTGAAATTCTTAATTTCTGGATGAGGGGCCCCGTGAATTCTGTAGCTGGTCCCCACTGAGAGACTCCGTGACTCCGAATCTGCCATTTCTCCCGTCTCGGTTTCAATCGGCTCGCTGAAGGGGAAGGTTCTGGAGATGATGTTGGCGCCTGGGGTTCGCGTAGTACCGCCCCGATGACCGTTTTGAATCCGTTAACTCTCTGCGGCGGCAAGAGACGCTGTGTCTGGCTGTGCCACTCCTGCCCAGCAGGGACACGGTCACACCCTCCCTCGTCTTGGCGCCACCCCCAGGCGCGGGTCCCTGGCCCGTCCTTTGCGGGGTGGGATGTCTGCACTCCGCATGCACGCGGCAGTCCGTGGTCCACACCGGGGTCACCACATTCCGTGGGTTTTGCCAAGTGTACGATGTCACGTGTCCACCATGACGATGTCACGTGTCCTTCACAGGTGTCGCTGCCCTAAACCCCCCGCGCTCCTCCTACTCGATGCTCCCCCAAGCCTGATCTTTCGCTGTCGCCAGAGTTCTCCCTGCTCTAGAACATCATGGATTTGGGGTCACACAATGTGCGGCCTGTCCGGATCGGCTTCTCTCATTTCCTTCTCTGCAGCTTCTAGAGGCGCCGTGTCCCTGGCATGTGGCCCCTTCCCCCTCGTCACAGCCGGCAGTGCAGCATCGTCTGTCTCTGTGGCTCTGACCCGCCCGCCTCCCCGTTATGAAGACGCTGGGCCCCTGGGAACCCAAGGTCGTCCCCATGTCCAGATGTTTCACTTAATTGCATCTGCACAATTCCTCTGACCCCGTGTAAGGGGACGTGTCCGCAAGTTCTAGCGATTAGGACGCGGACATCTGGGGCCAGTCTGTGCTCAGGCTTGCCTGTCCCGGAACCCCACAGGGATGGACTCACACGGCCGCCCCGCTGTATAGCGAAGCTCTGTGCGTCGCCCGGGTCACCGCGCTTGGTACCGGTTTATTCCTTTGCTGGGTGGGACTCTGGGCTGTGGACGGGCCGCAGCGTTGATCCACTCACCTGCTGCCGGGTACCTGAGCTGGTTCTCCGTTTTGACCATCGTGATGAGCTGCCCTGTGTGTTCCTTCCAACACTTTTGGTGGGCAGGCTTTGATCTCTCCCGGGTGAACGTGAGTGGAACCGCCGAGCCACAGAGTGGGCGTGCGTGGCTTCGGGAGAAATTGCCAGCCCCCGCCCCCACCGTGGGGTCACAGTGCTCACCACGAGCTCGGGGCCTGGCTGCTTGTGTGCTGGGCACCGCTGGTCGTGTTGATTTCAGCCCCTCAGGTGGGTGGTGACAGTGTGTGTCTCTTTCTGTGGTACATACACGTGACGTGAAATTTAGCGTTTTAACCATTTTTAAGTACACGACTGCATGGTGGTTTGTACACTCGGTGTCCTACAATCGTCCCCACCATCCACCTCCGGGACTTTCTCATCGTCTCAAACTGACACTCTGACCCCTGTCCCCATTACACACTCACTCCCTCCCCTCCCCCAGCCCCAGGCTCTACTACCTCCTCTCCGTGTCTGTGACTCTGACTCCTCTGGGGATTCCCCTGGGAGTGGGATCACACAGCACATGTCCTTCTGTGTCTGGCTTAGGTCACCGAGCAGTGTCCGCAGGGTCCATCCACGTAGCAGGTGTCAGGACGTCCTATATTTCTAATGCTGAATGATACTCCCGCGTCTGGATGGACCTCATCGTGTTCTCCCATCATCCGTCCATGGACACTGGGCTCGTGTCCACTTCTGGCTGTTGTGAATTGTGTTGCTGCGCACGTGGCCATGCAAGTGTCCATCCAAGTTCTTGCTTTTAGAGCATCGTGTGTGCACATCGGACTGCTGGGTCACGTGCTAATTCTGGTTAGGTTTCGAAGTGCCTTCTAACCTTGTACTTTTTGATACACAGGGAATGATTTTTATGCAGTCGAATCTACAAATGCTTTATTCTGAGAAATTTCTCCGCTCAGGGATCGGAACCACCCATTTGCAGATATATTAAACATGTAACTCTTTGTAGTTCACCGTGAGTCTGGTGGTCGGGGTGTGTGTGTGTGGGGGGGTGGTCCCTAGGGACTGCTGACCAGGGTGAGATTAAGATCTTCCCAGGCTCCAGGGCCTCCGGTGGGGGGAGGCGCCTTCCCACGGGACATGCCATACAAATGCTCCCGGGCCGTGGGACGCAGGGCTCATGCGCACGCAGACCCCACCCCCCCGTAGCTTTACCCCATAAATTTCCCAGCTACAAATCACAAACCCATCAAAGCTGAGGGCTACTCATGTGCGCGGCCGCCCGGAGCCGGGTGCATCCGCGGTGGGGACGGTGGCCGGGGGGAGAAGGAGGGTCCCAGAGCCGGGAGAGAAGGAGGCGGGAGCCTTTTATTGTGGATTAACTCACTTCGTATTAACAATTCCACACAATATTAAAACACTGCGAGGAAGTGGGTGTGGCACACCTGGAGATTTTTAAAAATCAGAAATAAAAACCACTGGACGGCCCAGCGCGGATGGGGCAGAACCTGCCAGAGCCGCAGGTTGCTTCTGAAACCCAGGAGCGGGCGTTCCAGCGTTTGGCGACGCGTTCCGTGGACGGCGGGGGACGAGGGCGTCATGTCTGACCTATGGCTTGTTTTCAGGGGACCCCGTGGCAGGCCGGCTTTCTATAAGTGCTCCTGAAGGACAAGACAAGCGACCTTTGGTGGCCTCGCTTTGGCTGGAAACTGCCCCTGGTCACTCACGCGTGGGCTGTGGGCCTGGCTCCGGCAGGGCTGGGCTGTTCAGGGATGGACGAGCTGCCCGGAGGCCCCACTGTCCTGGGTCTGGGCCAGACGTCAAAGCCGCTGACGGCACTTTGTGCCCAGCCCCGCGGTTTACTTCCCCTGGGCCTGGGGTCACAACCGAGTCACTTAATGCTTGGTCTGGGGGTCACCTGTGGGAGGGTGGGGGAGTGCGTGGTCTCTTCCTGGAGGGGGGTCACTGGATCAGGGTGTTGGCCTGGCCTGGCCAGACCGCCACACGGGCGACACTGAGCCTGGCAGCAGAGGACAGGAGAATCTGCGTGCCCAGGCCCGCCTGCTCTGTGTGTGTCCCCGTGTCCTTGTCTCCTCCCACCACGTGGTTGGGAGGCGCTGTTTTCCCCAAGGCCCCCGCTGCCACCGCCACCAGCTCCCTGATGCGCGGGGCACTTCCGGTCCCCAAGGGCCCTAGTAACAGTGTCTTCATGGCGGACACTTGCGCCAGGATCGCACAGGCAGCACACGTGGCCGTGAGTGCTCTGATGCCTCGGTCTACACTAAGGACGGTGAGATTTACTCTAAATGAAAAAAAGAAGAAACGAGTGTTTTTTTCCCTCAGCTAGAAAGAAAACGCAGTGGGGTTTCTGCCAATCACCAGCTCCCTGGGGTTTGAGGCCGTGGGGCCTTGACTGCCAGGCTCAGGGAACAGGGCTGTGGGACCTGGGAGGCAGGTAGCAGGTGCGGCACTAGGGTGGGGAACGGGCTGTCGTCACCCTCGCCAGGCCTCGGTGTCCCCAGACCACTCGGACCCCAGGCTGTGTGACACAGAAGCCCCTGAGGGAGCACGATGGCCGTGTCTTCTGGGCCCGGAGCAGGTGATGGTGCCGATACATGTGGGTTCACCCGCCTCCCTCAGCCAGGGGTCCTGGGCTCTGCTTTCCGCTGGCTTCTCTGGGCCACTTGGGTGGGGACGCACGGCGAGGTGGGGCTTGGAACGGCTGGCAGGGCAGGGGTCCGGGCCCCCGGGGTGTCTCTGACACTGAGGTCAGGACCTCCAGTCCTCTTTGGGGCCTGGGGGACGTGGGAGGGGGGACGCGCGTGCGGGGATCCGATGCGGGCTCAAGGGGTTAAGGCTTCTGTCACAGGGCAGAGGGCACACGCTCGCCGCCAGTCACCAGGTGGCTGGTGGGGAGGGCTGGCGGATGTGGCCGCGACAGGCCTCGCTCCGCGCCGGCTCCCTGGTGTCTGGGTCAGTCCCCGCTGGCTGTGGAACAGGCTTCGGTTCCGTCCTGGTGGCGAGGGCCAGAGGCGCGGGCGCCTTCTCCCGGCCTGGTAAAGGTGGCGTCGGCACCTTCTCCCGTTCCCCACCAGCGGCAGGTGTTGGGGTGCCAGGCTCCCCGGAGCCCCTGTGCTCCCGGACCAGCCGGGGAAAGCTGGGAGCCAGGGAGAAGGGCTCAGCCCCCTAGCCTGAGCTCGGGGACTGGAGGGCCACTCGCCGGAGCCTACTTAGCTGGGGCAGGATCCGAGCCTTGGCCCGGCCCGGGGCTGTGGGGTGGGGGCCGGGTTGGGCCACCCTGACGGCGGGGCCTCACCCTCTGACGTCCCTGGGCCGCAGGGGCAGAGCTGGGCTGGCTTCTTCCTACGGTTTGCCTCCGGGCCCAGAGGTGCGGTGGGACCCCTGAGCGGAGGGCTATGTGGGGTCCTGGCCGCCGCAGGTGGCACTGGCTGCACTCGGCTCCCTCCTCCTGCTCCGTTAAATGTCCATGTCATAACAAAGGAAAAAGTAATTTATAAAAAGGCCCCTGCCCCAAACCCCTGACTCTGTGACATCTTGGATTTCCAGGGGTGGCGGGGGGAGCGAGGCATTGTACTCATAGTAACTCATCTCGCCTCCCCCACTGGCCGCTCCGGGCCTAAGGGCTGTGAGGGTCGCCGGAGCGAGGCGCAGGCCCCCAGCTCCTGCTTCCAGCTATTTCCAGGCCATTCGACACCTTTTCACTGAAAGCATCGGGTGGCCCTGCCCGCCAGGCACTTTCTCCTGCAGCTGCAGTTCCGGGAGACCTATGGCACATGCCACACAGACGCCACACAGCGGGTGACACATGGTGACACAGGGTGCCTCCCTCCTGGCCCCTAAGACCCACTCATGCATCACAGCACAGTGCAGCTCGGCCGCGTGCTCAGCCGCCGAAGTCTGACTTTAGCGGCAACTGTTTTGTACATGAAAAGGAGAGATTTTTCCAGAAAAGTTCAGTCCATGTCCGTACCTCTGCCCCAATTTTACTGTGCTG